TGAGGGCAGGGCCTGGCCGTTCTGTGGCTGATCTGGCCCCGCCCTTCCCTTTCTTGGTTCCGTGTCCTCAGCCCCCTCCGGCGCCCTGGCCCCAGGGCCACACGGTGGGGAAGAGGAGAGTCTCGGCCCTGGGGAAACTCCTGCTGCTGCTAGGGTTAAAGTCAAGAAGGAAAGGATTCCCACCTGCCCCCACCCCCAGCTCACCGGATCCGAGGGCACCACCGCCACCCCGAGCTCAGGACCCTCCTCTTCCCAGCTGCCCACCCCCCCAAGGCCGGCCAAGCCACACCAAGCTACTGCCCCCTCCCCTCCCCTCAGCCCATTTCCTCTTCCTCATCCTCCCTCACCCCTCACCCCAAGCCCTCTACCCAGACATCCTTCCCTCTCTATCAGGCCCTTCAGTTTCTGTTCCCTTCGTCCCTGTGCCACCTTTATTAAACCCCATGAGACCTCAGGGGCCGTGACTTCAAACCTGGACTCTGGAGTCCGGAGCTGGAGCTCCCAGCACTGCCCTGGAGTGAGTCCCCACCCCTCCTCCCCCGGGGGCAGCATGAAAGGCAGGGCTGGCCCCAGGGCCACCTTCCCAGAGCTGGGCTGGCCCGCGACCTGCACGCCCTGGAGGCTCAGGTGGCTTGGGCGGGCTGCGCTGGCCTCTTCAGGACCCGGGGCTGAGGTCTCCCGGTGAGGCTGGGTGCGGGGTGGATGGGGACGGGTGAAGGGGGAGGAGGGCGTAGCTACTCACATGGCTGTTGGGGGCAGGTGTTGCTGGCCCAGCCTGGGCTTTCCCCTCAGTGTCAGGGTGCTGCCATAGGCAGGCCTGCAGGGCTTCTGGCGCTGTCTGGTGTCCCGGCCGGTGAGGACATGGTGCCTCCACTCCGCGGGGACCGCAGGGCCCCGGGCTCTCGGCTGCCCAGGCTCTGCCCCTGCCCTGGGTTCTGGAGGGATGGAGCTGGGGCGGGTGGGGCTCAGCCTGGCCCCGCCCCTGGGGGTGGGGCCTGGCACACACTGGGCTGCAGGGGCTGGGAGGCCTTCCCATCTTGGTGCAGTGCCCTCGCCCTGTGCTGTACCCGCATGCCCCCTCTCCAGCCACCAGCTATAGCTTGCCACCAAGGTGGCAGATCCCCTACCTCAGGTCACCCAACTTGGAGCCCTGTCACCTGCTGCTTGCCTAGCTAATGGGAGAATGCAGTCCACTCAATGAATAATCAGGGTTTCGGCTCCCCCTCTCCACTTCCTGTCCCAGCGAATACATTTACATTTGATGGGTCTTAAACCCCTGGAGTGGCCAGCCGGCTGACAGCACACCCAGCTCCCTAATTCTGAAGAGCAGTGTCTGATGGTGCCAGGGCTGGGGGTGTTTGCAGCTTGAGGATCTTCCCATCCTATTACCTGATGGGCCTTTCGGCTTACAAAGCCAACCTTACCTTCTAGAACTTGGGGTCATTCTACACTTTTCTCAACTGCCTTGAGTCAAGTTCTGGGCAATGAGGTAAAAATGGCTCTGGGGGTGTGGCACTGGGCAAGCTAACTTCTGGGCCTGTTTTCCCACCTGTAAAAGGGGAACAAGTAAAACTACCACTCTGGGCTGTTGCAGGAATATCATGGAGTAACATCTGTGACTGCGTATATCCCAGTGTCTGACACTTAATGGGAGGCCTCCATGGTGAATAAGAGGCGTGAGCCCAGAAAGCCTGGGCTTGAATCTTAGAATCTTGGCTGGGATCCTTTTTTTTTTTTTAGCTGTGTGAACTTGGGCAAATTACTGAAGTTCTTTTGCCTTCGTTTCCTCATCTGTAGAATGGGGCTTACATTGCGCTCACCTAGGGCGAGACTAACTGAGCTAATACGTGATGAAGACTTAAATGAGCACTAGGCACACAGGCACTCAATGAAAGGCAGCTGTTAACATTTTTAGGATTTCTGCCCTCTGCATGTTGCTTCCCTCCAGCCACCTGTCCCCGCTAAGAAAACTCCGTAGAGAAAGGCAGACAAAGAGCTCATGAAAAGCAAGAGGGGATGGCCCTTTGCCCCACAGACAGCAAGGAGAGCAGGTACAGGAGAGGAAGGGCAAGTGCAAGGCTAGGGAGCCAAGAGGTGCGATGCTCCCATTTTCACTGGTATCAAGTGAGGCCTTGGGGTGCTGGAAAGAAGGCTGAAGTGGGAGGGAGCAGGTTGAAATTGCAGCAAGAAAGTCGGAGATGAGACAGGACGGAAGACCTCCCTGCTCAAGAGCACAGGTAGACGGAGTGAGGGGACCTCTGCGCCCTCAGCGGGGAAGGGCAGGGAGAGAGAGCCGGGCTGAAGGCTGGCGACCCGAGGGGTCTAGCTCTGCCCATCCTGCACAGTGGTCAGGGGGCCCGGGGAGGCGGGACTTCTGTTGGGACAAAAAGTGGGAAGAGGAAAGCATCCAGCCTCAAAACCCTCCTCAAGTGAGCTGGCGGCCAGAGGACGCGGGCTTCCAGCAGCCGGCCCTCAGGCCCACGCTATCTGGTCGGGCAGAAGTCAGAGGCTCTGGGAGAGTTCAGACTGGGGCCTGGACACAAGTGGGTGTGGGGCCCTTCAGAAGTTGGGCTGGCAGGAATAAACAGACCTCCTTCTGTTCCCAGCCCTGGCCTCCTCGGGATCCAGGATGTCTGTGTTTCTTCTTCGCTGCTTTGTCTAAACAATGTCTGTGGGATGACGTCCGAAGGGGGCGGCTTAGGCGGCAGGGGCTGGGAAGCCTGGGTCCTGTCTCCTCCTCACTGGACCATGTGGGCCTTCTCTGCTCCCCCATCCATCTCTGGCACTGGCTCATCCCCGGCCTTCTAGACCCTTGGCCCACAGGAGGGCTTTGGTGCAGTTTCCAGACCCTCCATTCCAGCTGCAGGCCAGTCGCCGTGGTCCCCGTTCTCTCCTCAGGCACAGCCTCTCTGCTATGGCGGGGCCCAACCCTGCCAGGGAATCCTCCTGGGCCTCCTTCGTCCACTCCATTCTCTTGGATACTGGCAGCTCTTTGCTGACCGTGGGGGCCCAGGGCAGGGTGGGTGTGGTATGCAGGGGCTGGGGCACTCGCTAACTGGATGAGTGGAGGCAAGGAGGCCCCGGGGCTTTCTGGACCCTGGCTGGCCTCCAGGAGCCGCTGTCAACACTCGTCACTCCCCACAGGCAAGAGCAGACAAGCCCTTGGGAGCCTCTGGAGGGCCCTGGGCACAATCCTGGCCAGGACCTTGGCCTCAGGAAGCCCTGAGCCAGGTGTCTGGGCAGAAGAAACCCTTGTCCTTCCTGTTAGGGTTAAGCCAGACTCTCCACGGCCCCCTCCGGGCCACTGCAGTGTTTCAGCAATCCCTGAAGGGGGCAGCATTGCTTGAACTCAAAAGAGCCCCCAGAGCAGACCCAGGTTTGGGTCTTTGGCCTCAGGAACTGTTGGGACGAGGGTTTTTACTTCCAATGGGACCAAAGGGAATGGAAATGGCAACTGCCAAGTATGGGCTGCCCAGGACAGGGCTGACGCAGCAGCGGGTACTTCCTTTTCCAGGTCTGCCACCCACCAGAAGCGGGTAACAAGGGGCCACTCCCCCCCAGTGCACAGGTTTGTTGGGATGGGCACTGAGCCCCAAACTAAGAGCCCATTTCCATGGAGTCCAGGTGACTGAATGACCTATATAGCTTTCAGATTTCTTGATGGTGACCCACAGTAAAAAAGGGTGTTTTATAATCTAATCAAGATGTGTATACATGAACAAACACACTCCAAAATCAATACTTACCCTTGAGAAATGTGATGTACTCTGATCTATACTATCCCATTGAAAAGAGAAAAAAAAAAAAAAGCTGGGGCGCCTGGGTGGCTCAGTCGGTTAAGCGTTTGCCTTTAGCTCAGGTCATGATCGCATGGTCCTGGGATCGAGTCCACATCGGGGTCCCTGCTCAGAGGGGAGTCTGCTTCTCCCCCTCCCCCACTTGTGCTCACTCGTTCTCTCAAATAAAATCTTAAAAAAAAAAAAAAGGCCAGTAATGAAGTTACACACGTGACAGACACACAGAAATACACACCTGCCCCGCCTGCCCCCCACGCAGACACGCACGCACGCACGAGTCAGGCCGGACTGTGCCCACGACACAGTCCTGGCCGAGATACTGCACTACCGTCATTCAAGATGCTACCACTGGGGGGAGCTGGGTGAAGGGCACACAGAATTTCTGTAGTATTTCTTACGACAGCATATGAACCTACAGTGATCTCACAAGTTTAGGAAACAAAAATGTCAGGACAGTTCACGATTCATGAATGGGTCTCAAACCAGTCTGAAACCCACTGCACTAGATGGAGACAAATTAAAAGGGAAAGCAAGAAGCTAAAAACGGTCAGGATGGTCCTCAGACCATTTCAGGTGCTCATAAAACTCTCCTGTAATTCTTTACCATATTTTCTGAACAGTTTTATTTTGGGGATCAGTGTCCTGCTAGCTGGGGGACAGCATACATTGCTAGGCTCGGTACTGTTAGGGGAGCATCTCCCCAAAGGGAATTCTGTGGAAGGCCAGTCTTTTGGGACTGAGAAGAGAAGGGTGTATGAAGTATGAGAAGAGAAAGGGTGGCCAGTTACTCTAACGTCTGCATTAGGTCCACACCCTAACACCCACCACCGTCCTGCAGAACACAGGCCACGAAATGCATTTTGGGAAGTGCTGTGCATTATTCATGATGAAAGAATAAGCCAGAAAACACATCATGTGACTGTCACAGTCCTGGAAGCTTCTTGGCCACAGACAGACAGACATAGTAGTAAGCAAGCTTTACAGGAAGCACGTTCACGTTTATTCAGAACTGCCAACTAAGAACTCACTAGCCAGCCATCCTCTCTCTCCTCAAAGGGGTGTGTGTATGGGGGGGTTGTTGAGGGACTCCTGATCTAAGGCTTCCCAGATTTGGGTCTGTAGGTTCAAGGGCAGCACCATGTGTACCCTTCCTCCCCCTTCCCCCCTTTTGGACTCAGTCTAGAAACCCAGCAAATTCTCGTGTAAGATAGAAAGATTTTCTTTATTAATGACCCCAACCGTATTTCTTTAGATACAGGAGTTCTGAACTCAAATACTTAGGAGAAAACAAGTTAAGATTGCATTATCCTGCAACTCATTACCAGTAACATATTGCAAAGCGCAACAGCTTGGAAAAGAGGGAGGAAGGCAAGGGAGTGAGGGAGGGAAGGTAAAGAAAAGGAATTAAGTTGATCAAGTGGAATTTTTTTTTTTTAATTCTTGAGAACTATGAAGTCCTTGCAAGCACAGCTCGTTTCTGCAGATTATTTTCCAAACGTGTACAAAATGGAACCAAAACGGAGAATCCCTTAAGAACCTGAAGAGGTGCAACATGAAAAGCTACGATTATCCAGTAGCAAGCGTTCCAGCCTTCAGCTGCCAGCCGCCTCCTCTTCCTGTTCCCGAGAGTTAGCGGGATGAGAACGTCTTCCCCCTTCAAGAGCAGAGAGAAGTGTGAAGGCCGGTTTCTGGCTCCCCTGTCCTGCCCCCCGCCCCCGGGATGGGATCTCAGAGACACCAGACACAGGTGCGAACATTCCTCAGAAGATGCGGGAACTCTAGGCCCGGAATAAGGCCCAGCTCCCACAGAGAGTTGATCAGCTCTTTCTTCCTGCTGAATACTTACTTCGGGGAGACCAGGGAGCACCTGTGCCACACCCACAAGGACGGTCGATGTACCAAGTTAGACAGGACAATCCCTTGCCCACAATGTCTGGATGGCCTAGACCTACTTGAATTTCAAACTGGGCCCGACCCTCTTCTGGGTTGAGAGCTCAGGCTCCCCTTACACAGCTTGTACCTTTTCAGCCTCGCACACAGCAGTTCCTTCTATTTTTCACCATGGGAGCAGGATGCTCAAAACTTCCAAGTACAAGAACTTTGTGTTGCCATGCGGTGACCACACTCCGGGTTACAGAACACTCGCCTGACTTTAGGCTCCTGAGTCCTGGCCTTCTGTCCCACCCAGGATTTCTCCGCAAGGGCCAGCTTTGGGAACAGGCTGGTTCCCAAAGACAGAGCTCCTTTGGTAAAGCAGCCTGGAAGCCAGGGCTGGGAACTATGAGAAATTGGGGCAAAGAAAGGGGGGCTAAATCTTCCTGTCCTGAATGTCTCAGCCACCCCAAACTGAAACCGTATTTTTTCAACCCCACCTCTCCATGCAAAACTGGCGAGCGTTCGAGAGCACCAAGCCAGGCCTGCCATCCTATTCCATGCAGCCCCTCCATTTCCGCTGTCTGGGCTGTGTGTGTGTCCTGGCTTCTCTACTCATCCTTAGTAACATGATCTGGTTTTCAGCTTGGATGTGGTTGTTTGCCTCCCCCTCCTCCTTTCTGGGGCCCATCTCTGCTAAAGAGAGGTCACAGGACAGAAAAAGGCAAAGCTGCTCTTTTTAGCTCCCAGGAAGGAGGTTTACGGACAATTTGTTGGTTTCAAGGATCTGTCCTTCCCCAGTTACGACCGCACCCATGTCGCAGCATCCCGGGACCACCTGCCGGCAGGCTAACAGGGCAGGGCAGAGGCCCTGTGGGGAGACACTGGGCAGTGGCTGCCTCGGTGGGCTCTTCTGGACAGACGAGAAGTTCCAGGGCTGCAGTGGACACAGGCAGCCCCATGACAGAGTATTTACGAAGACAGCCTTCCCATTTGGTGTAGGACGGGCTGGCCAGGTCAGGCTTCCTTCTGCTATGCCTGGCTGCCTGTTCACCTCCGAGCCAGTCTCTCCACTGGCCCTGAAAATGGCACAGCATTGGTCACCTCCCGCTCTAAGTCACCACAGCGGTGCCCTGTGAGAAGGGCAGTCCTGTGGAAAGCAAGAGGGGCAGGGGAACTTGTAAACCCCAGGAGGGAGGCCAGGTTTTAGAAGAGGCGCAAAGAGCATGTGTGTCCCAGGACATACGCCCTCCCCACCCTGTGTCAGTTTTGCCCACTTTAGGCCTTGCCACAAAGCTGTAGAGCAGAAGGTGTGATGCTGCCATTTTGTCACCATGGCACCCTGACATCCCTCTGGAAGCAGAGGATCCAACTATAGACTGAACCCCACTCCTCAGGCTCTGGGCAGGAGGTACAGAGTTACTACTGAGAGAAGCCTTTGGTACCAATTTCATGAGATGGGCAGCCTCTAAAGCTTTCGCCTAAGAAGTCAGAAGTGACTTAAAGTGCTTTTATAACCATCAGAGGTTTCTGAGCTTGAAAACCCTCGGCTCCGGTACCAGGAGTCAGGCACCACTCTCATCCTGTCAGGTGGCAGCAGAACCTAGCTTGGCAGGAGGCGCCTCCCATGCCAGGGGAGGGAACCCGGAGCCCTGTGCACACCATACCTGCCGAAGGTCCCCCCCCGAGAGCAGCAGGCGTTGGCAAATACCCTGGCTGTGAGGGATGTGCAGAAGCTTAGTTCACCTCAAGACTTGAGTTCAATGGGCACAAAAACTGGCAGATAAGCACTTATTCCTTATCTTGAGAACAGGATCACCTCAACTTCACAGAGGGGGAACCAAAAAACCCTGACATTTTGCCTAACGACCTAAATCCCTATCTAGGCTCTAGACCATGCTGGCCTCTCCTGCATGGAGCCACACACTGGAGCCCCCCAGTTCGACAATTCCATCCCTGAGAAAGACAACGTCATCTCCATGCAAAACTGCCGAGAAGCAGACCAGGGGATAAAAACACTTAAGGGGTGGCTCCAGGCCTGTTCACTCAACTAAATGTCCATAAGCAAATCTCTCTCCAGGAAGATCTTGAGGACTGACCTAACTCAGGCCCAAAGAGAACACAGTGTATCTCAGTAAAAAGGTCCCGTTGTGTTTTCCCTAGCTGACATTCCCCTAGCTCACAAAGATGTGGAAACAAGTGAATCCAGCCCGGCCCACTCAGGAGTGAAAACCTGTCCATCTCGCCTTTAGTCAGTCAGGTGGCTACAGGCCGGCCCTGCCTGCCTCTCACATGTAGCTGCTGCCCAGACACCTGGAGGGCCAGGTCATCAACATCCACTATTTCCCTCTTGGTGAAATCAGGAAAGGAAGGTGGTCCTGCTTCTGAGACCGCCCTACTCACGTGATTGTTTTCATTTCTTTTTTCTCGGCATCTGGACGTGCACGGTTCAGCACCTTGAGGAAGTCAGATGTTTTTGCCCGCATACGTGTATGAATATAGGCCTGGGAGCAAACACAATGGGTACTGAAGCAGTCATGTTCTAGAAAAACAGCTCTGCTTTCAGTAGACGTTATCAGGAAGGTCTGGGAACATATGCCCTGGGACTGACACAGGGCCATATGCAGGCAAGCAGGAGGGCAACTTTCTGGAGATACATCTGCATCTCTCTACTATGGGGAGAGATGGAAGAAAGGCCATGATATCTTAAAAGTCTCTAGAACCATTACAGTTCATATCAACAGCCTGGACTACAGGAATGACTTTTTTTTTTTTTTAAAGTAAATTCTACCCCCAGTGGTGGTGCTCAAACTCACGACCTCGGGATCGAGAGTCGCATGCTCTACCGACTCAGCCAGCCAGGTGCAGCCCACACAGAAATGACTTTTTATGTTATTAACTCTGGTGGAGAGAATGACCCGGAGCATAGGAGCTGAGCTGCCGTGGGCCCTTCTCACCTTAGAGCACTTGATGTGGTAGTGCAGATAGTCCCGGAAAGTGTGGATCAGGTTGATGGTGTTGTCTCGAGCGCTGGCATTGGTGTGGCGAGGGAACAGCACTGCCGGCAGGGACACAAACAAGACATCAGGGTGTAACATCAAGGCTGAAGGGCGGGAAGATCAGAGCCTGCAGTCAGCCCTGAGCTCTCCCTGCCTGAGGACAATGCCCTTGTTTCATCATGCCTAGGCTTTGTCAAAGTGTTCTCCTTCATGAGGCAGGGATAAGTACTGTAACAGGGCAGGTACCAGGGAGTGCAAATGGAGGAGATCATGGCAGAACACCAGGGCTCCCCAGGAAAGGGCTTAGTGCTGGGCATCACACCAGGTCTGGGCTCTAGCCTGTGGCTGTGCGTTCTGCCATCTATGCCCCGCCTGTCCCACGCCTACCAGCCTCTGCCTCTATGGCACAGCAGTCTCCTGAGAAGGTGGTACCGCTGGCTGGGGGCGCGGGGGGCCTTTGGAGAAAACACCTTATTAGACATCAGCATTAGGAAACAAAAGCTGCCTATCTTCTATCCATGGTGCTTGAGCCTTCAGAGGCACTTGGTTCTGTGGTCTTGGGGTGAAAACGAGAGACTCTAAGCTCCCAGGACCTCAACTCTTCTCATGAGGACAGGTAGCAGGAGCTGCTTTGGCCGGGGGATGAGAAAAGCCCCTCCCATGGTGCCATGCACTGAAGCCCCCTGTAGCCACTCCGCCGTCTTCACCCCTCCCTTCAGCTTTCTGGAACCCTCTCCATCTCCTGTACCTACTCTACTCAGTGGTCTCGGCAGCAGTAAAATCCTCCAAGCGGGACGTTTGCTAACATGAAAAGGAATACCTCAAAAGAAAGGGTGGGACCTCTGTGTCAATTTGCCGAGAAGAAACGAACAGCAGGACAAGAGCTAACTATGTGGCATAGCGACTATACCGTTTCTGCAGCATAACGAGAAAGGCTGCCAATTAAACTGCATGGCATGCACTGTAAGCTGCGCCCCAGCCTCAAGGACAGTCAAGTGAAAGAAAACGTGTAGCTTAGAGGTCACGGAACATGGTAAGTCGGTGGGCTCATCACCAATAAACAGGTACACCTTCAGTACTGAGGTGACTTAAATTTCAGAAAAGGCAACATTTTAGTGGCATTGGGTGCAATGTGTGAATGAGCTGTTATTCCCAACTGTTAGCTATAATCAGAAGCCAAGCTCACTCGTCTGGAGTAACCATAAGAAGGGAAGACTTGAACTTCTTCAGTGGAGTAAGTGAATCATGGCCAGAGCTCTGGCTTAGTAAGCAAAAAACCAAGAAATGTCAAATGCAAGAGAACTGCCTCCCACCCAGCTGCTTAGTGATGTTCATGTGGTCCCGACTCTTAACACTTGACATCAGGGGCTCTATTTTTTCCCCCAGGATTTAAGAAAAACAGGGAAAAAAGAAAATGATTATGGCACACCCTCCTACAGTCAGAGCACGGGCATATGAGAACGATCTGGTACGCCTGCTTTTGCCCCTTTCCCATTTTAACAAAGGTCTGTGCCGTTTCAGGCACCCTGCAGGGGAAGCCACCAGAGGTGCACAACCTGGCATATCCCCCCAGCCTGCTCACCGAAGGTAATGTAGCCAATGTTGTCGCCCACGGCAGCATCGGTGTCTTTCAGCTCCAGAGGAGGTTCCCTGTGGCTAAAGAGGACCTGTGGGGCTGTGTGGCTGGCTCTGCGGCCTTCTTTGAACTCCTGCACAAAGCAACCAGAAGAGAGCGTGACGTGAGATGAATGGCAACTTCCACTACAAGGCTGGCCCTACGGGGTGTGACTTCTATAGCACCCCAGACTGGCAGAGGGCTAAGAAGAAACACCTGACATGAAGCAGGACAAGTGCCGGCTGCTACCGATGCGATCCGGATGCAAAAAGATTTCCCCGAAAGATTTATTTACTTAAGAGCTCATGCATGAGAAAGAGAGAGAGAGAGAGAGGAGTGGCAGAGGGAGAAGCAGACTCCCCGGTGAGCAGGAAGCCCGATGCAATGCGGGGGCTCCATCCCAGGACCCTGGGATCATGACCTAAGCCAAAGGCAGACGCTTAACCCACTGAGCCACCCAGGCGCCCCTGATGAGAGCATTCTTAATCCTGTTCCCTTTCTCTTGTTTGGGAATGACAGAGGCAATTAAAGTTCATCTGACACTAAACAGACAACGAACTGTAAAGCATTAGAACCAGGTTACATTTAGGATTAAGGACTACTGCTGATTGTTTCTTTTGATTTCATGTGAAGAGCCTGTATTTATCAGGAAATCTTGACAATCTCAGGGTTCATGGAACCTAGGCTCTAGCATGCTTAAGACTCAAGATAAAATCTTAACTCCTTTCATCTTTGCCTGAAAGCCCCTTATGAGCTGGCCCATTTCTCACCCCTCCCACCCCCATCTCTGCTTCTTCCCCTTTCTTGAAAACCAGGCTTTCTCAGGGCTCTGGACCTTTGCACAAGTCCTGTTTCATGGAGGTATCTTAGACCGTTACTGTTTAGAATCCACCAATCAGAACTTTAGACTAAATGTAAGCCCTTCTCAGGGTCAGAAGACAACGGAGTTAAAGAAGCTGAGTTGTTTTAGGGTTCGCTGAGAGGAGGAGGCTCTGTGACATGAGAAGTGAAAGCCTGACTGTTAATTCTGGTCTTGAATGGCTATAGACTCAATCACCACCACTCTGCCTAAGAGCTCATCATCCATAACAAAACGTCCCCACCCTCATCAAACGACAGGAAAATGAGGATGTAAAAACCAGGCCATTCCGCCCTATGTTTTAATCTTCAAACCTCAAGCTTTTCTAATGCATACATTCCTTTGTACATACCAAAGTGATACAAGGCATCCCTGTCTCAACCCAGATCTGCAAGAACAGAACTAGATTTTCCAGCAATGCCAGTAAAACAGGGTGATCCAAATTCACTGAGTGATAGCCGAAGGACGGAACCAAGGGCTAGGTAGTTCTAGGAGTACCGAAAGCATGCTAACAGGGCTGTTTTGTCTGCACTGCTCTTCTGCTGCTGCTCAGCTATGACCTCCTCTATCCTGCCATCTCCAAAAGACTTGGGTAGCTGGCTGCCATCTCGTCGGGAGTTCCCATGTCTTCTAAGTCTCTACTATGGCAATTTACTATGCACTAAAGCATCTGGCTTCTCTACCAGGTTGTAAGCTCTGCAAGCCAAGGATCCTCCTTTATTACTCTGTATCCATTCCTCTTCCTTCAAAGAGGCTGGCTAGCACATGGCTTGCTGAATGAAAGTAAGCACTTTCTACCCTAGCTGAGTTACAGCTGTGGCACTGTAAAGGAAGGGACAGGAACAATGCTTCCGTTTGTAGGTAGGAAGAATGCGCACAGGGCAGCAAGCCCTCAGCAAATTAGTGGCAAAAGGATAACATCTGAGGAATTCTAACGCCCAGTCTGGAATCTCACCTGTTCCACCACCCTGCCTCCTGAGCTGGCACTGCTTGGCTTCTAAAGCTTGGTGGAAGATAAACTAACATAGCCAGGTTAGGTTAGCTCCCTATCCTTTGTTTCTCAAATGAAAAATATTCGCAGAGGTATGGAAGGAGTCAAGATCATTCAAAATGGAAATTCCTAAAGCAAAGCTTCTGAGATTACCCTTCTCTAGAAAACGTTACCTTTCATTCTGCAAAGGGGTTGGGAGGTTTTCTCACTTTTTATTTTTACTCTTTAGCACCCCCCCCGGGGGGGGGGAGCAGAGAAAATAGAACAGATAATAACTGCCAGATTTTTCTTGTGTTTAGTAAGTTTCTCGAAGGCTCCAAATCACTGGTACCTGTTGGCATTCATACCCAGATGGTGTGAATGTAAACCCATGGTGACCTATTAGCGTGGCTTCCATCAGTTCTGTGTACGGAAAATGACACGTGGATCTGGTTAAACATGCACGTCTGATTTGGGTCTATCCTTTCGGCGCTGTCACGTCTTTGTTTCTTCTTGGTACACTCTCTTAAATAATACTTAAGAAACAAATCAACCAACCCACCCGAACAGTTCTCCTTTTTCATTAAGGTCTTTGTCGTGCGTGTCAACAATGATGCCTCTTTTTTCTTCCTCCAACTAGGATGTCTTTTGAGTATCACAATACTATTTCTCTCTTCCATCAAAGCACAATTTATGATAGCAAGTTCAGAATAAATCCAAGTATACACAGAAACTGAGTATATGATAAAGGTAGCATCGTAAACTGGTAGTATAAACATGGGCCTTGAAACAATGGCTACTGAGACCAGTGGGTAGCCATTTAGAAAAAATGATGGATGCATCTTTCTACCATATACCAGGAGAAAACTCTGAACAGGTAATCAAAGATTATGTGTAAAATATGAAACTAAAAATACTAAAAAATAATACAGGTACATTTCTTTACAATCTTAGAGTAGGAAAGGAGTTTCTAACTATGACTCAAAATCTAGGAGCCACAGAAGAGACTGACTTAACTATGTGAAAATAAACTTCTGAGTTGAGGGAAAAAAAAACTCCACAAACTCTAATGACAAACTGGAAAAAATATTTGCTACTCCTACCATAGATAAAAAGCTAATCTCTCTAGTATATAAGAAATAGAGAAGATTAGCAACCCAATAGAAAAATGGGTAAGGATAGAGACCTCCCACAGGGAAGAAAAATAAATAGCCTTCAACCTAAGAAAAGATGTTGGACCTTGTTCCCAAGAGAATGTAGATACCATTTTTCATCTATCAGATTGGCAGAAATCCGAAAGTCTGACAACATACTCTGGGAAATCGGGCACTTTCATGCATTGTAGGTGGGAGGCAAAAGGGTACAACCTCCGTGGAGGAGGGTCTGGCAGTATCTACTAAAGCTCCTGACTTTCACTCAGTGCTCCCACTTCAGGAAAACATCCTACAGCTATAATCACACAGGCAACCAGGTAGACAGGGTTCTCAACATCCTATCTTCACACCTGACTGAAAGGCAGATTGCTTGTGTCTTGTCCCTGAACATACAGAAACCAGTGGTCTCTGTTTAACTTTTCTTGGTTATGGGGCGGACGTTAAGATCTAAAAATATGAAAAATATTCTAGTTCACCATACTCTATAATCTCCAAAATTGTATTGTTCCTAAGGCTTTTCACAGAATGAGCAGTGACATGGTATCTACCAGACTTTCTCTAGTGCTCAGCTTGCATGCTGACAAAGATAATGCACCAAAGGCAAACACTAAAATATCCATGTGAGTGGGGAATGGAAACTCCGTCTTTTTCCCAAAGGCAGGAAGCATCCCTCAGAGTTGGCCTGCTGACTGCCAAAGCAGGAATCGTGTTCTGACCAAACTGGAGGTCCACGCCGGGAGGGGAAAACCCATAAAGGCCCACAGCAAGCAAGTCCGTGACGTGGAGGAACTTCAAACTGTCCCTGGGTCCCAGCATTCTGTGCTAGGCATCCACTGTTCTAGGAATTTAAAATAACGAAGTCCAGGAAAAGTGTCAGATGATTTATTTTGGAGTAAAATCTAACAAAATAAGCCCAGGTTTCTAAGGGCATTTCAAATAAATTGCCCCAGCCTTCGACTCCGTGGAGAAGGAGGCAAGGCAGATGGCTTCCCGAGCACAGCCTTTTCACAGCCCGGGACACCAGCTGGGGCTGCATGGTGCCAGTCCAGTCACTAACTAGAGACACTGTCAGTGCAAAAATGCAGAGACTTGCTTTTCCCTTTTAGACCAGTGCCCTACTGCATGTATTTTGAGGGAGGAGTTTAAATTCATATGCAAAAAAATACACAATACTCTCCTAAGGAACAAATCTCCTGTAAGCTTTCCAAGATACGGTCTGTTTAAAGCATAAAATGGAACAAGACTGGTAAAAAACGAGCCAAATCTAAATATATACTTCATAGCTTTTAAAATTAGTTTGTCAGTCTGGATTCAGCCCAATTTCTAAGCTACTGCATTTAATTCCCCTGTCATTTCTGCCTAAAAACAGATGAAATTCCTGTCTGGAAGCTTACATTTAGGACCCAAGATATAGGTCTATAGATCTGTGTGTATACACACACACTCTCTCTCTCTCAAAGTTTAGTACTCTCAAATGCTCAAAGTGTCAATATCCTAATTTTTCTGCATTGTGACTCCAAAATTAGAGTTTCTGATTAATTAGACTAAACACAAAAAGCCACTAGAGATGGATGAAATGGAGGCTCTCACTTTTGAGTATTTTCCTAGCCGCTGAGAGAGGATACCCATAAAATATCCTCACTACATTAAGCACAACCATTTTTCAACTCCATGTAGCAAAAAAGATTCTGTCCCGGAATTCTTAAATCTCTTCATCCTGCCAAGCAACACAATGAACGTACAAAAGGTGTTGGAAAATTTACCCACTGTACTAGATATTGAATGCTGAGCCATCTGGGAAGAAATCAGCCTGGTTATCACTTCAACGACAAGCTCTCATCTTAGCGCCAGCAACTGGTTAGCAGACAGCATGACACTACCACAACGGGGTATTGTATCAACCTGGAGTCCAACTGTACCAAAATCCAATGACAAAATGTCCCACTAAGCCCCGTTCCTCTTCTTGGTAGGTGAGCTGCTTCTGAAGGAGGCGCTCTATGATGACCTCAGGCAAACTCCGGCCAATCTGCCTCACTGTCCGCTCAACGACTCTACCCTAACTGATATATTATCTACTACTTAGGAATTTTCTAGAGATTCTGTTCTGAGAAGACTTCAGTACTAAATCAAGCCAAGAATGGACCTTGCCAGAAACTGCAGGAAGGGTAGGAAACATGACTAAGCTTTAAATCGAAGACCCTATGGCAGCAAGGGTGCTTAAAACTCAGTCATACCATTAGTATGTTTAATCCTCAATTCACTCTCCAGTCCAATCCAGTCCTGCAAAAGGCTAAAGGCACTAAGGAAAAACTACACGCAGTGAGTCTGGCGGGAGCTGTTTAATGAGATCTTCAACAAGTGCCGGCACCCTCAGAGTGGCCAGTTCTCTCTTCTACGCTCATGGTGCGCTTCAGTGCCAAGGTATAAACCACCACCATCGTGTCCCCCCACAAGATGTCCTATCCGTACCTGCATGAACACTTTTCCAATGACCACATCGTCATCATCCTTGAACACTGTGCTGAAGACTACTGTGACTCTGTCCTTTTTAGATTCAACGTACCTGAGGGGAACAAAACCCATGAGGTAAGAAGTACAGAATCAGCATGAGACTTTGTCAAGAACTCGATCTCCAAAGTGAAGTAGGTGGGTAAAGTCCTAAATCTCTTAGTTCATAAAACAAGGCAGCCAAGGGAGACTCAGTATGTATGACCAACAAAGTCAGTATAACACATGCATGCCCTGAGGCAGGAGAGGAAAATCACCCTGAGTAGCTGGTACTGACTTGTCTGTGTGGTAGGACATGGAATCTGGGGTCACTAACTCTCAGAACTTCACTTTAAAAAATTTCTTTATATACTAGGAGAGTCCTACTATGTAGAGGATTCAAGAGTTGCAAACACACAGAATGCACAGTCCCCTCTCCCTCCTCGTTACCCAGGCTGTATGACTGAAGGGGACCTTCAATAGTGGTGCCTTAAAGGAAAGCACTGGATTCCCCTTTCATCTTTTGCCAACTTCTGGTATCTGGAGACCAGCAGAAAGGGCCCCCTTTTCTCCTCTGTCATCTACATCCTGGCTTAAAGAATTTTATGAGAAAGACATGTTAGGGAGATTCACACAATAGAGCTTAAGGTCTGACTTAACTGTGTATCTTTCAGTAAGGGCATGTTAACAGCCACACCCAGGCTTTAGGACCAAGTTCTATACTCACATGGTCTCATCATCCCTATAATGGATAACTGCCCTGTTCTCGCCTTCCTTGCCCTCTTCTTGGAATTGGAAATATTTCTCAAAGACAGAGGCAAAACAATTTCGTTTCAACATGCCAGCCTGATGCACAATGGAATCCTTGGATGCCGGCAGATTTTCAAGGTCATATAGCAAAGAGACATTGTACCCTGGAGAGGGGAAAAAAATCAAAAAACAAAAAAAACAATGGTTATATTAGCAACAAAACCAAAAAACTTTGCAGGTTCTAATGACATTTTATTTTGTGTCAGTGTCCATACTTTTAACCGAGGTAGATTGCTATCCATTCTCATCTGCCTCAAATGGCAAATGAGGTAAGATAAAACTTTAATTCTTATAAAACCACTGTAAATATATATGTAGCTAATTAACAAATGCTATGCAAAAATTTGAATCAATATCAAAGATGACTGATTACAAATAAGGAATAGGAAGAAGCCATAATCCAGGAACTTTAAGTAGAAATTTAGTGTTCTAGACACAGTAGTGAAGGGGGCACTTGTGTATGCTATCAAGCTATAATAATAGGAGTTACAGATTTTCCTCTGATGGTTTAACTGCCAAGTGCTAACATAAGTCAGCAGCTGGGTAGCTTTTTGATTAAAAAAACCCCCCAAAAACCCCTTACATACCATCACAAACCCTTTGTGGTAGGAGGCAAGGTATGGACAAATCTAAAAAATGTGTGCGCGCGTGTGTGTGTATAGTGTGTATACTTCCCCAGTAGCTTTTACGTGTAAATGCTATAAAAATTTCACAGTGTTTTAAAATATTTTACTTCATTTGATCTCTGTAAGAATTCTTTGAAGTAGGCAAGTCAGATATGGTTATTCCCATTTTAGAGGGAAAACAAGTTCAAAGGAGCAGAGTGCCATGCTAAATGCAGCATGATATAGAGGTGTAAGCAACTCTATTCTGAGTTGAATAGAACTGGGTCCAAATCCTGGCATTGCCACTTTGTGACCTTGGACAAACTATCTAACCTCTATAATTCCTGCATCTTATTTAAAAAGGGTGGTGAAATGGGGGAGGCCCTTGGGAAAATTTAGAGAGCGTTTAAGTATTTTAAAGTGCCTGGAACACAGTAGGTCATCAATAAATGGGACCCGAAGCCAAGTCTGCTGACCACTGCATGTCGAGTACGAGTTCCAGCAAACACGGTTAGGACAACTGATTAGTTAATCAAACAATTAATACATGCCAAAAAGCCTAGAGGTGGCTTTGCAAGAGTATCTGTACATCACTGAGGATCATTTCATAGTCTAGGTAACTGCTGGGAATAATTTTACCAGAATTGTATGGAATATCTTTTTTTAAAAAATTTATTTATTATTATTTTTTAAAGATTTTATTTATTTATTTGACAGAGAGAGACACAGCAAGAGAGGGAATACAAGCAGGGGGAGTGGGAGAGGGAGAAGCAGGCTTCCCGCCGAGCAGGGAGCCCGATGTGGGGCTCGATCTCAGGACCTGGAATCATGACCTGAGCCGAAGGCAGACGCCTAATGACTGAGCCACCCAGGCACCCCTGTATGGAATATCTTAAACATTTATACTTTGTCACTGTTTAATTTTTCCCCAAGAGCATTCCTGAGGTCTGTTTTTTGTTGGATTGATCTTCACGGAGAACATGGGCTATCTAAATCTCTGTTCTAGATTGTGCTAACATAATTTTGGCACTCCAATATTATGTAATACCAATCATCATTCCATTTTGGGTACCTGAAAACCAGATAGGCAAACAGACTACAGGATTAAAGATTAGACAGAAAACGAAAATATATAGTTGAGGTTTGTTAGTTTTAAGAAGCCAATAAAACTAAGTAAAACTATAGCTAAAGTCAGACTCTAAGTAAGGCTTTGATATGATAAAGAGAAACATACTGAGGACAGATTAAAAGTAAAAATCTAGTATGGCCTGGACAACTTGCCCAGACAAAGCCACAGAAAAACAGGAGGAGACACACTACTTTCACATGTTTTTATACTTTGCACTTGTATGAACACAAGGTCTGCAATCTGGCAATGGCCTGTGCTTTTAGCAGGAAGTGGAAGAAAAGGCCCAGGGACAGAAACATAAGCACTCCAGTGGTTCTGATAGATTGTAGGATATGAGCTGGGTCAAGCATGCCCAAGAGTTCCAACACAATTTTTTCTGTTCTAGTTCTGTTTCTTTCTTCCTTCTTCTCTCTCTGAAATTCCTGATTCCCCTTAAAGCCTAGTGTTATTTATTTTTTGGTTTTTATTTCTCGATATACTTTTACCATCAATTTGGGGATGAACACATTCTAGTATTCTTTATGGACTGCAGTCAATGCTCCCACCTACAGTACTCCTAGTAACAAGTTACATCCCAAAGACCTCTTTCTGTATTTGGTATTTTGTTTCCACAGCATACAGAAGACAGGGGAAGGTCTTCTATTGGGACTGGTGAGGCATGTCACTTTATAAAAATGAAAACAAATAAGCACACAAAAACCACACAAGGGTTGGGGGAGGAAATAAGCTAGCAAAAGTAACAGCTGTGAAAAGACAGATGTACTTCCTTCTTAGAACAATTTGCTAATCAAAGTACCACAGGACCAAATGCTAGTAATATTATGTTCAAAGGAACTTAACCCCTTGGTCCTCATCAGGGGGCCCAGCTAAATGCTTCAGAATTTGAGGCTACCACTTATTCACAGAGATGAAAACAGTGTTCAGTTTTTCTGCTTTAAATTTCCTGTAAAGCAGTAGGAACGTAGCTGTTGTAATCAAGGAAGGCCATGGTGTTTTTCAATTCCTCTGGCTGCAAAGAGGCTATTTATTCTTTATTACAAGAATGGGTTAAAAGGGGGGCTGAAATTTTTGTTCCTTGAATATGTGAGAATAGTTGTGTTTCCTTCTCCAAAAGTGCAGAGTACAGAAAATGGTACTACTAGGGGCTAGGGTGAAAACCAGTGTTTGCTCAGTCTCAAAAGGCATTTTAATCACCACGAGCAAACAAAAGTGGCTCACTGGTTGCAAGTTACTTGGCTCCACCACGTAAGTGTTAAAAATGACACACATCAGTTCTGCAAACCACACCGTGTACCACTACTGGACAAAGTAAAGCCCCTTAAAAACTATTTTTATGGAGAGGGTTGAAGTGCGAACTGGGCTCAGGCAGAAATATTTGTAAAATGAACAATATTTAAACGAAATGCTTTGGTTAAAAAATAGCAGAGTACAAACATGACAGGTCTCTTTCCATGTCACTCCACAGTTGCTCATATTACTACATACCTGATTCGGGATTTACCAAGAAACTCCCGTACACCCTCTTTAATAACTAGAAAATACAAAAACAAATGTTAATCCAAAGGTCATGATAATGTCATTATTTTTTTATTTTTATTTTTTAAAAGATTTTATTTATTTGACAGAGAGAAAGAGCACAAGCAGGGGGAGTGGCAGGCAGAGGCAGAGAGAGAAGCAGGCTCCCCGCTGAGCAGGGGATGGGACTCGATCCCAGGGCCCTGGGATCATGACCTGAGCCGAAGGCAGTCGCTTAACCAACTGAGCCACCCACGCGGCCGATAATGTCATTATTTTTAAAGCACTGTATTTGCCACGCTTCTTCTAAGACAGAATTTTTCATTTGGTGGATGGGACACTGAATACACAAGGGGAAGCAGATATATCTGAGTTCCCAAGCAAGTCACTCATGGAATTGAGATTAAATCCAAAAGGTTAGGGGCACCTCGGTGGCTCAGTTAAGCATCTACCTTCGGCTCAGTACATGATCTCAGGGTCCTAGGATCGAGCCCTGTTCAGCAGGGGGTCTGTTTCTCCCTCTGCCTCCTACTCATGCTGTCTCTCGCTTTCAAATAAATAAATAAAATCTTTAAAAAACCCCACAAAACCTTGCTTAAAAAAAAAAATCCAAAAGGTTAATCTAGGATGTGTTTTTCAATCAAGCTCATCTTTTAGGACCTGGTCACACCCTTTGTATGTTCTCTGTTCTCCTCCTGTATATCGCATATTTGCACACAATCATTTTTGTTTTCAAGAGTGCAAAAGGATGTTAAACCCAAGTGAGAGTAGATTATGTTAGTTACCAACTAAGTACAGGCCGAACCAGTAACCCAGGTGAGTGAAGAGATAAAGCCAGAATTGCTGGGAACAGATTCTAGTTAGCCTGCTTATCTTGCAAGCCTTAGAATTATTTAGCTCATCATCAGTTTTATGACAAAAGACAAGAGATCACTGAACCACAGCCATTTATTTATACTGGTGGGTCCACAGAAAGCTGTACTCTCTAAATGTCCCTCCCCTCAAACCAATACTTACTGCTGGCTACTCTCCAGCTTTGGGGAGTAAATGATAAAACAAGAACCCTTTATACACCTTCCTATTTCTCTGTCAGAGCGACTGCTTTACCCGGTGGAAACTGTTCCTAGGCTGACAGTTGTAAGAAACAAACCTTTTGGAAGGACTAGTTCAGACTTACATGTTATATAGGCTACATTAAGCAGTAGAAAAAAGCAGCTATCGGATGATAGAAAAAAATAAACATTAGAGCCATCAGAACTTAATAACTTTTTGGTATTTAGTAGTCTTGTTTAAGAGGCAAAACAGACATGGCTTCTTTTTTTTTTTTTTAAGATTTTATTTATTTGACAGAGAGACAGGGAGAGAAGGTAACACAAGCAGGGGGAGTGGGAGACGGAGAAGCAGGCCTCCTGCGGAGGGGAGAGCCTGATGTGGGCTGGATCCCAGGACGCTGGGATCATGACCTGAGCTGAAGGCAGACGCTCAACAACTGAGCCACTCAGGTGTCCCAGACATGGCTTATTCTCAAACCTCATTAAAAACATACTTAGGGAGGGAAGGTGTCGTCACTATTCCACAAGGGAAAACGGAGGTCCATGTATGTAACAGTATATTTAAGATTAGTACAACAGGCTGCAGGGTTTTGTCTCTAGACATTTAGTCAATTTCTCAACACTATCTCACCACAAACACACTAATGATCCTCTGGAATTTTCTAGGATATCAAAAAAAAAAGGACACTTAATCTATGACAAGTTACCAAATTAAAAGTGAACAAAAGCATTAACTTTTGTTTTAATTGTAAGAGTTACACATGCAGGTTTTACAGGATTCCATCAGCCAGAGAAAAGCAGTGCTAAAGGCAGGTAGTCCTAGAAGGGAGCTCCCATGTGAGCAGGCTCTGGTCTCTGCACCCACTCATGCCTGCATATGGGGGCTGGCAATAAATAGAGCTGAGTGAATATTGAGGTTTTTTTCCTAATCTTACTTTCCATGTACCCTCTAGATATTAAAAAAAAAAAAAAAAGCGCAGCAGCAAACCATGTATTTTACGTCCTGTTTGAAAAAATTACCACATGGTGAGGTTCTTTCCTTTCTGTTCTTAAATACTCTTTAATATTCCACATATTTATTTTACCACTTTCCGATAGCTGGAAGAAATTCTCTATCTGCAAACTATGAAAACAGAACAGACCTCAACGCCCGACTGTGAGCACACTCGTCTGTATATAGGCAAATGACAAGTAATGCCACATGCAGTTCCGACCTGGTGACCATACAGCCACTGTAAGGTTATCTCGTTTACAGAAGAGGAACTGAAGGGAGCGGTTAAGGTCACAGAGTTTGTTGGTGGCACAGAGAGCGCTCACCTTTAGGTGCATCATATACTACTTCTCCTAAAGACTCTTGCGGTGGGGGGAGTAACAGGCATATCCCAGAAGAATTTTAACTAGCATGGAATCTCTGAGCTGCAGTACTGCACCGTGTGTCCTGTGGGTACTTGGAGGAAGGGGAAATTCGATGTGGAAGAAAAAAACATAGCTCCTAAGATTTAGTTTAATTCCAAGCTTAATATTCTGAGATCTGAAAGGTTCTTAGAGCCAAACATACCCTGTTTAACTCCTCTGCTCCTTCCACTTGGCAAAACCAGCCAACGCTTCCCTGTTGATATCACTTGCACGTTTAACCACGATTCACTTTTCTACTGAGTGCCCCCCTCTTCCAACCTGACACCAGGAGATAGGTGGAGGCACCCCATCAGTCCTCACCATTAGACTTTCCCACCCTAGCAGCAGGGGCTTTCTGCCTTGAAAAAGGGCCTGGGCAAAGTAGCAAGCTTCCTCTGGTTATCACAGGCTGGTCACTGTTTAACCAACCCAGAGAGCCATTTACTGTGTACTCTGCTCCAAAACTGTGAGTGTTACTTGCTCCACCCACTTGGGCGGGTGGGGTTGGGTGGTTGACCCTGTGGGAGCTACAAGAATAGCACTGTGTTGTGGAGTTCCAGTGTGCAGAAGGCACAGACTGGAAAGATTTAAGAAATCTAGCTTTAACGCTTTCTTTCACTTCCAAAGATTATTATTATCATTGTGCCTGCATCTTAAAGAGAGAGGACTGTCTGGGGAGAATGATTACACAATTTTGAGTTGTCTGTTCAAAGCTTTAACAATTCTTTTCAGGTAGTCATTTTATGGTTAATCAAAAGCGGGGCCACTTTAACGGTCACTTGTTCCCTTTTGTTAATCTGGTAAAGGGAGTCGGCCACTAACTTTTATAGAATGATCCTTCATATGTTTTATGAGACGAGGTCTTCCTCCTGAAGCTTTTCTTTCAGATAAAATCACCCCGAATACAAATTCTCTACACATCTCTTCTTCCATTGAACTTATGAGGCAAATGAGAAAAAGTTTTGGCTCTTCCCTTGAATTGCTGGGACAGATCAACTGCTTACGAATAACTAAGAAAAACGACTGCCTATGGCTCTTGGGACTGTATTTAATATCAGTTTTGGTTTTAATACCAAAATATCATTGAGATGGATTTTGATCTTTTTTTTATTGCAAACAGCCTTTTCATTGCATAAATTTTAAATATTTCAAAAGCTACTGCTCTTTATCAGAAAGAAAATAGAAATAGCCGTATCTTCATTCACCGCATTAAGGAGAACCTAGCTTGTTAAAACTAAAAGATAGCTGAAAACTGATTCAGGAACTGAGTCATACTTCCTGCTTTGAGACCCAACCACAACGTGTGCACACTAGTGTAACAGCATTTTCTTTCTTCCATAAATGGCTCTCCCCAGAGCAAATACAGTTCAACAGGAACCAAACCTGCTACTTTAGCTCTAGAAAGAAGCCCGTGAATGAGGCATGGCCATCAAGAATTTCAAAATACATGGACAGCCTTTCTCACTTCCCCAAAGGTAGTCATAGGGACGAAGAGAAACTTAAAGCGGCCAGCTCTAAAGAAGTTTAAATCAAAAAATTTAAAGGGCAGATTTGCGCTTAAATTTCCAGAATGAGAAATTAAGACCATAAACTTTAAAGGCCAGAGCTGTATACCTGCTTCACAATATTATAGAAATAGAATGAAACCCATCTATCTTGAGATAGCTATTTCTTAAGTAGGCTCCACAATGTGGAGCCCAACGCAGGGCTTGAACTCACGACCCTGAGATCAATACCTGAGCTGAGATCAAGAGGTGGATGTTAACTGACTGAGCCACTCAGGTGCCCTGTGATAGCTATTTTTATAGTGGTCAAAGAATGTATTCTTTGGTGTATTTTTGGGGAACTAAAGTTGTTTTTGTTTTCATTGGTTAGGGAACACCTTTATTTTTCTAGAGTAATGAACAACAAGCAAAGCTCCAAAGCTTTTTCTGAAAAACACGCTTCTTTATATCATTATGGGTCAAGAGCCCCTGGTTAGGTGAGCAAGCTGTCCGGAGTGGCCAGTGCCAGTAGGCGTGACCAGTGCCACAGACCTTCTAGGAGTGGCAAGCTGCCAATAAGGTGAAGAGGAAATAAAGAGTCCCAAGGAAAATGATGTGGAACATACCTCATCAGCACCATGTGCCTGAAGTTCCTTGTAGAATTTCAAAGAAATACTGACCATCACTTTTGTTTTGTCTCCATTAGGATTTGAAATATGATAGAGGACTCCATCGAAATCTGTGAGGAAAGTAAATAAAACTGCTTAACTTGGGAATGGGAAATAAGATCTCAAAGCACCTGCCTACCTTGTTACAGGCCACAAGGAGGTCCTCCTTGGAAGCAGGCATATGAGTAGAATGGTATTTATTTTAAATCCATGCAGAAAGTCAGCAAAAACACTGGGATAGAACTATCAAGTACTTATCTCTTTGCTCTCTTCTAAAATTACAAAACTATTCTTACCTTCATCACAGCTTGGTATTGAAAGTATTTTTTTTAAAAAGCTTTTGCTGGGATGTATTTTATTTTTTTTAAAGATTTTTTATTTATTTATTTGAAAGAGAGAGAATGAGAGAGAGAGCACATGAGAGGGGGGAGGGTCAGAGGGAGAAGCAGACTCCCTGCTGAGCAGGAGCCTGATGAGGGACTCCAAGAGTCCCGGGACTCCAAGATCATGACCTGAGCCGAAGGCAGTCGCTTAACCAACTGAGCCACCCAGGCGCCCTGCTGTGATGTTATTTTAAACAAACCTACAATATAACGTATAACGGACCCCTAGTTTCCTCCATGTGACCTCAACAATTATCAACACATGGCCAACCTTCTTTCATTTAGACGTCCCCTCCCAACGATTTATTCTAAAGCAAATCTGAGACATCACATCATTTCATCCATAAGTATTTCAGAATGTATCTCCAATGATAAAGAAGGATTTTTTAAAAAACACAGCTACAATACCATTGCTATGCCTAAATTTTTAAAAACAACCTCTTACTATCAAATATCCAGTCAAGTGTTCAAATATTCTACCCCCCCCCAAAAAAGGTTTTAAAATACTGTTGTCTTATTTGAGTTAAGATCCAAATAAGGCCCCACACTGCATTTGGTTATTTCTTAAATTTCTTCTAATCTATATCCAGGCCTCCCCTCTCTTTGGCTTCTGTCTTTCTACAGTACGGAGAGGATTTACCCTGTGTAGTCCCTGAAGCCAGGTGCTGAATGCCATCACTTTAGGGAGACATGGCATTGCTAGTTAGTGGGAGGGGACAGGGATGGTGCCTGGCCTCCAGTCACAGCACTTCAGAGCTGCAAAAAGTCTTCCAAGATCTAGTCAAGTATCCTCACCTTATAGAGGGTGATTGTTTAACTCCTCAAAGTCCACACAGCAAGTGAGTAGTATCAATATCTAATTCTTTTTTTTTTTTTTTAAGATTTTATTTATTTATTTGACAGAGAGAGACACAGCGAGAGAGGGAACACAAGCAGAGGGAGTGGGAGAGGGAGAAGCAGGCTTCCCGTGGAGCAGGGAGCCCGATGTGGGGCTTGATCCCAGGATCCTGGGACCATGACCTGAGCCAAAGGCAGACGCTTAACGAATGAGCCACCCAGGCGCCCCTCGATATCTAATTCTTTTTTTTTTTTTTTTAAAGATTTTATTTATTTGAGACAGAGAGAATGAGAGAGAGAGAGCACATGAGAGGGGGGAGGATCAGAGGGAGAAGCAGGCTCCCCGCCAAGCAGGGAGCCCGATGCGGGACTCGATCCAGGGACTCCAGGATCATGACCTGAGCCGAAGGCAGTCGCTTAACCAACTGAGCCACCCAGGCGCCTCGATATCTAATTCTTAACAGGGAATAGAAAGCAGTAACCTCTCTCTGCCTTGTTGAACAGGTCTCTAGTATTTTCCATGTTTTCTCGCTACTCTAGTGCTAGGCAAACTGAGATGAAGACTGCCTGAAAACAGTAATTTAGCATTTCCAAATTAAAAAAACTTGAGTTTATACCACAACAGTAAGCCCAAACTTCTAAAATATCAGCAGGTAACTTTACACAGTTCAATAAATCCATGAAATAATTATCTAAAACAAAGACCTCGAAAAGACTTGACAATCAAGGGATAGTACCCCAAATCTCAAAACTTATTTTAGGAATGATTTTGTTTTCTATTTTTATATTGTGCCTTCTCTTAACAGGGCTGAAGGAAGGACACTTACCCGCAAATGTTACTTCTACTGCTTCTGGTTTGTTACTGCAAAACAAAAAGAAAAGTCCCTTAGTTAAGATAGTTGTATTGCTGCTTGGCTTCAAGGGGACTTGCAAAGACTTCTGAGCTTTATTTCAGATAGAAGCATTCTGGACCAATCTTATGCTTACTGCTGACGTGAGAACACAACTCATTTTCTCATGTACCTGAACCTTTGGGCTCACTTAAGGTGGAGGATACTTTTTTGTAGCAGGACAGATAGTTTTTGTTTTCCAGCTGCTGTCGAATCTTTGTCATGGTTGGTGCTTAGCTTCAGTTCAGAATTCCTTAAGACTATGATATGCACATTTGCATACGTGAACTACAAAATGCTATCTTCTGATCAATGTCTCCCCCACAGGACAGTAGTGATGGACGTGGAGGTAGTACATGCAGGAGGAAAGCTGCTAAACAGAACGCAGAATTTTTTTTTTTTTTTTAAGATTTTATTTATTTATTTGACAGAGAGAGACATAGCGAGAGCAGGAACACAAGCAGGGGGGGTGGGAGAGGGAGAAGCAGGCTTCCCGCAGAGCAGGGAGCCCGATGTGGGACTCGATCCCAGGACCCTGGGATCATGACCTGAGCTGAAGGCAGACGCTTAACGACTGAGCCACCCAGGCACCCCAGAACGTAGAATGGTTTTAACTCACTAAAGATGAAAGGATAATTCCAGGCCATAAAACAAAACAGGAAGTTCTATACCATTTCAAAGACAATCTCTAAGTCTTCCTACACGTCTTTCCCTCTCCCTTAATGTCACCCAAGTATTTAACACTCTACTTCACGAAGCCCTCTGCCTGGTTCTACCCTAGTTTTGTTTTGAAATTCCTGTGCTGCACCTGCATAGAAAGCATAGCACAAAGTAACACTGTGAAATCACTGGCAACAGTCAAGACACCAATTTTCCAGCTTTAGTTTTTCATCAGGACCATGTTTTCAGACAAATTAACACCTGCACACCTTTATTTTCTCTTATTCATCTATAAAATGGGAGAATACAAGTGATCCTACCGACCTCATAGAACTGCTAAAGATAAAGCAAGAGAACAGATATGAAACTTATCCTGGAAGGCAATGACAACAGCCTGATACTTTCTGTGCAGACCCTGCTCAGCCTCGAAGAGAAACTTCTACTTGATAAATGCTACGGAGTTATTACCTAGAAGGCATGACATACATCCTAGCTATAAACAATCATGGTCAATTAACCTCCCATGAAAAGCAACCTTATGTGATTTCCCCACTTCTCAAAGCCCAATGGTAGGAAACAAAGGAAGACTCCACGTTTTTTGTTTTAGAGATTTTTTATTTATTTGACAGAGAGAGACAGTGAGAGAGGGAACACAAGCAGGGGGAGTGGGAGAGGGAGAAGCAGGCTTCCTGCTGAGCAGGGAGCCCTATGTGGGACTCGATTCCAGGACCCTGGGATCATGACCTGAGCCAAGGCAGATGCTTAATGACTGAGCCACCCAGGCGCCCCAAGGCTCCACGGTTTTATCTCTAACTACCTAGGACTCTAATGATTCCACTTTGTTTTATGGACCAGCAGACAAGACACACACATTTCCACATTTATCCTTGCCTAATTTGCTCAAGACCTCACCATGAAGTACATCTTTTTTACTTCTTTTTACATCAAGTACATCTTTTTACTACTTCCGCTCCCCTACCTGTAAAGGGCACCATGACTGAGCTGCCCTCTAGGTTGCTGGGAAATAATGGAATACACAGGGGGGTTTATGAGTGTTAAAAAGCTGCTGCAGATGTTATACAATACCGTTCCAGGAAACTGGCTTCTATGAAGTGTACGTTAGCCCTGCTGAAAAATCAACCAATATAAGTCACATACAGAGTTCTACTCTACTCTTTCATCATAGCCATCCATGTGTGGTTTAGGAGAATCACTCTGGGAGACTCTAAGAATGAAAGCACCGAGTGGGTTTACAGAGAAGCAGTGAGTTCAGAATATGATGAAAAGAGTGAGATGAAAACTTAAACTGCTTCTGATCTTTCATTTGAAACTACAGCCAGGAGACAAAGACAATGAATGGCCAACCACCATTCCTCACCTCTAAAAAGCCAAGAGCAAAGGAAGAAGCAGCACAAACATTAATCTAGGGCTCACCTGAATGAATTATGAAGAGGCTGCACAATGGGAGGGAGCACCAAAGTATATTTTCCTGGGGAAGGGTGGCTATGCCAAAAAGTCAGGGTGGAGGCTTGTAAAAGTCCATATTGCATCACTTAGTAGGTGGCTGGGTTTTTCTTTTTTTTTTTTTTTTTTTTAATCCTTAGGTTTTAACTCAGCCAACGAAGGGCTGAGTTCCTCACTCTCCTACTTCAACAGATGGAGAAAAATTAGGTATAAATAAAAAACCTTAGGGTTCCAAGCTATAAACATTAAAAATTTTTGGAGTCCAATGCAGGGCTTGAACTCATGACCCTGAGATCACGACTGAGCCGAGATCAAGGGTTGGAAGCTTAACTGACTGAGCCACTCAGGCGCCCCCCCAACCTATAAACATTTTAACTGAAATTCTGAATTTCTCTAGGCTGTAAAGTTCCCTAAGCACATATCCCCACTGGGAGAAGTTGCTTAGGAAGAGCTATACCAAGTGGTTTGCTGCCTGACTCGGGAATATTTGTCAAATCACCGCCATTAATATTTTAGTTTACTATTTGTGGCTGCACAATAGGTTATAGAGAAGATAGGCTGTAAAGGAGAGCATTTGTCCAAAGGAGTCTTCCTGAGAGGTCATGTGGGTCATGTGCCCCAACAAACAGAACATAGCAAGAGTGAAATATACCAAACAGGATGGTGTGTCAATTCCAAGACCAGGTGTTTGTTATTTACTTCTGTGGTTTAAAACCATGGAGCTAGAGGGGAATAAGACTGGTCTGGGGGGAAAGGGCACCACTTTAACAAGCCCAAAAGATAAATAGATTAAGTTATTTTTTTGTTTTACCATCTGCTAAAGTTTCAGATGCTGGGAATGAGTTTAATCACAATAAAAGCAAGTCCTTAAGAGCTGACAGTTCAATTCAAGTCCTGTCACTTACTGGCTTTGTACAAACCACACTCAATGTTGTTCAGATATTGCTGAGCCTCAGGTTCCTTTTCTAGAAAATGAAAATTAAAAGGTTGTTGTGAAGACTAATTGAGATGACATGCGTACAGGAAAGTTTCCCAACCAGTGTCTTGTGACTAAGTTACAGACATGCTGAGATAATGATCCTCACAGCCCTCAGGGCCACCCAGTAGCAGGAGCTCTAGGCTAGACCATTTACTCAAACGTGCCATACAAATATCATGTTGTGTGTGTGACAGATCATAAATAAGGTTAGAAGTCCCCAGTGAAGGGTATCTGCACAGTGCTTAATGAATTAGTCTACTCCTTCCACAACTCCCAAGAGGCCCAGTTTTCTCAGCTGTAAATGGGAACTGCTGTCACACAGGCACATTTTGAAATCAAATGAAGTTATGATTTCAAAGCTTAGAGCAAAGTGTCTAATTCATAGACGGTGATCGATGAATTAGTTTTTCTTCTACGTGAAGTCAGAAGAGACCAGACTTTGAAGCCATCCATGGTTGGGAGAAGTTGTGGGATTGTGCTAACTCCCAGAATCAGGAATTGGTCAGCACTGTAAGGAGAAACAGAACAGTGTTGTGATATCCAGAATCCTAGAGCAAACCGGCTAGATAAGTCCTCAGGGTTACTGACTGGATAGCACAAGACACTAAAATACATTCAATTCATTCAGATGGGTTTCAAAAGCTATTCTTAAAATCCTTAAAGAACTCCTGACAACTGTATTTTCCATTCCTCTTTTCTCATTAAGGATTTTGGAGTTTCTACTCCTGAATGCATCCAATTCCCCATCCGGGCACTTATGTGCCTCTTCTACTTACCCCTTCTATGAGCCGAATGAGAGAAATTATTGAATTCGGCTATCTCACCGTAAAGTTTTCGATCACTCTCCAGTTAATTCCCCTATAAGGCTCCCATCAACCTATTTGAGCCAAGACTAAAAAATGTGGTCCTTACTCTCTGCTAAGCCAGATCTCAAAATATGCAGAACAAAGATGATCTAAAAGCTGATTCACACAGTATCAGAATAGTGATAAATTAAGCACCTAAAGAAATTAAGATCCATTCCACCTGGCCTCATCCATTCCTTCAAGAGAATAGTTACTGAGCTAACTATACATACAGTGAGGATGCTGGGAAAGAAAGAGGACCAAAGTGATCCTGCCCTTAAGGAGTCATCAGTTTCTTGGAGTATAGCTCTGGAGCTTCATGCACAAAGCGGTGCGGAGGAGGTCAGAAGCCAGGCAGCAATGTGCAACTATAATGACCTGTAAAAAGACCAACCAGACCGGGCGCCTGGGTGGCTCAGTTGGTTAAGCGGCTGCCTTCGGCTCAGGTCATGATCCTGGAGTCCTGGGATCGAGTCCCGCATCGGGCTACCTGCTCAGCAGGGAGTCTGCTTCTCCCTCTCCCGCTCCCCCCTCCTGTGCTCTTTGTCTCTCTCACTCTCTCTCAAATAAATAAAATCTTAAAAAAAAAAAAACAAAGACCAACCAGACCATTCCATTTCTTCTAGATGTTTAAACAATGTCCCAATTCCAAATCACTTCAAATCAGTCTGTCTCTCTGAGGACACATGCAGCGTATTTAGGAATCAGAACAAGGTATCAGCAAGATTTAATTTATTCCTTTCTCAAATTTCTCCTCCCACAGTCCTTGCCCACCCCAACTGGCACGGCTTGCTTCACTCCCCCTCACACAACCACAGAGCCTCACAATATGCACAGCTGTGGCAAGGAGCCAGCATGCACTTAAAATCAACAGCAATTCGCATCTGACAGCATTTCCTCAATTCTGGACTCCAGACTTGAAGTTGACAGGCCTAGCTTCTGAGGCTGAAAGGTTCTTGTATGTATACAGTAACAAAAAATTAAATTAATTTGCCAGATTATTTCTGTTTTAACTGGGCATCTGGGTAAGAATTCCTAAATGAAAAGGCAATGCTGTTGACAAGACCTGCACAAGCTTATTTGCAGTGTTGAGCATGGCTTCTTAATCAGCATATTCTCATAGTGTGTATGATGTCGAGTAGACAATTTACCAATAATTACCATTTTGTGACGATATACGAACCATTCCAATAAGCCATTTTCCCCAGGAGTGTGGTAGGAAAAAATAAAAAGCAATTTGTTAGGAATGAATCTTAGGCTTTTTCAGAACTGCCTCCAAATTAAAAGGTGATCATGCCTAAATGTTCAACAGTTTAGATTAACAATTGCTTTACCCAAAGTTAGTTTAGACTCTTAGTAGGATGTTATAGGCAACATTCAGCAGGATGGTCTGAGGCATCATTTAAAAAAAAAAAAATCAACCTCAGTAATTTTCCTGCAACTGTATTTTGAAGCATATACCACAGACTATCTCATGCTCGCATGTTCAGTAGCTTCAACAGTGCTACTGCTGTTCAATAGAACTTTCTGCAAATAGTGGAAATGTTCTACATGTGTTCTGTCCAAATATGGCCGCTACTAGCCACATGTGGGGGCAACTGAGCACTAGAACCGTGGCTGGTGTGAGGAAGCCACGGTTACATCTGCAATCCCACCTACCTCCTACCTCCTAGGCCTGCTATCAGGGTCTCTTCAAAGATCTTCAGAGCTCTTTTCTGCAGAGTATGTTTTGAGCCCACTTAAAGTCACATCTCAAAGGGAAGACAGGCCACAGTAAAAGCCAAAATTTGCTGCCCTGCCCCAATATCCAACATTGCTATAACATATACTTCGTTAAGAAATGTCTTAGAAGTTCTAACTTATGCTTCCAGACTTGAGTGCCTATTTTAATTCCTCTGAAACGGTACTTTGTTAAGAGTTAATTTTTTAAAAGGAAAAGAGCTGATGTTCTGGATAATGGGCTTCATTTTGGAATCACAAATACACAAATAGATGTGAATGTACTTCTACACTACAAGGCATGCTTCTACTTGAAAATGAACAGACATTTATCTTGTAGATCAGCTTATAACCACCCAGGTCTCATTCTTTGCTAGTCTGAACTCGAGAATGCACTTAACAGATTCAGCTGTGAAAATGCAGAAGTTAATTTAACTTCCTCCGATGTGCTACACTGCTCAAAAGAAGTACCCAGCCATCACCCAAAATAAGACTCTGAGCTGATTCACTCAAACATTTAAAATGCAGAGGAACTGGTGAGACTGAAGACAAGAAGCAAGTTAGCTTCAAATATAAGTAACTGCAGCCCCTGGCAGGAAACAGCAGCTACTGCTTACTGTAAGCCTTACTTCAACTAAAGCCATGCTTTACTTTACAGATAAAATCTGTGACCCTATAAAAGAGACAAGAGACACAGTCTGTTCAATTTAAGCAGTGGGTTAGAAGTATTTTTTTTAATGCCTCCAAGCCACAAGTTCATTATGAGCACTTTAGAATTTCCCCTGCACCAACCCTTTCCCATCTGCAGATCTCCAAGTACTTCTTTCTTATGACTAGTTCCCAGTTCACCAGAAGGTTTGCACTTATTTCCTCAACTCTGTAACCAAGAGGCGAAGCCCAGGGAAACGAGGCAAAGGGGCTGGCTACAGGCCACCGAAAATTAGAAGCTAAAACCAGATCCTTGGCTCACGTTTTAAATATTAGAAAAGCAAAGCAGCTTCGGGGAAGGAGGCTGTTTTCTACTGATTCTTGTGTTTCACAGAGAAGGCTGCCTTAGAAATATGTACTAACCTACCTTTAAAAAGGCCAATGATAAATAAAGGTTATCTGAGAACTTTATAGACTTTGGATGCTTCTAAGTGTGTACCTGGGCCAGGATTACCACATTAAAAATCACAGACCAGGGGTTTTATATTAAGAGTTTAAAAGATAAATGGGTGGGGAGAGAATTAGAACCTCAGAAGAGAGATAAGGGAGGGGTGTGAATGGGGAGACTATCAGCTTTGCTTGAGAAATATGTAACAAAATGGCCAGTGTGTCTTAACAGTAGGGTTCGGGAAGGGAAACTACACAAGTCGCGTTTTTCCGGCTGCACGACTGGGTCTTTCAGTCTTGCCTCCAGCTCCTTTAGACGTTGGGGTGGGGGTGGGGGTGGGGCTGGGGAGCGAGAAGGCCGGTGGGGACGTGGGCCTGCATCGTCTTCCCTCCTCCAGTCCTGGGGATTCCTGGAAACTCCTTCCAACCCAATCTCAAACGGGCTTTCTTGGGGTTCAGAACAATGACGGGGAATACAGAGATAAGGGGTCCCCTGCTCGCTCCAGAAGGCAATGGGATCCTCCGGCCAGAGTTCCGGCCCCAGCTGCCCTCATGTCCCACAGGTCTCCTGCCCTTTGGCACGCGCGCTCCGGTCCACTCGCCGCTTCCGCATCCTTCCTCCAAGCCTCTCCCCACGCATCTCTGCCCCTCACCCCACCGCGCCCAGTCGCCTCCCACGTTTACCCCGCCTGGGCCGTCCCCACACCCGGCCAGGTCTCCCACCTCGTCCCTCCAAGTCTGGGGGAACTGAACGACACTGCGGACTAGCAGGGGTCAACTCTGCCTCCCCCGCCACCCACCGGCCCCGGGCGCGCGCTCACCCGGCGGCCGCGTTCTCGAACTTGAGCGCGAGCGTCTCCTCGATGATGCGGTTGTTCACCTCCAGCAGGATCATGGCGGCGGCTGCCCCGGGCAGGGGAAGGAAAAACAAGGGAAGGTGAGGGTGGGTAAGGGAGGAAAGGACGGAGGGAGCGGCCCTGCTGCCCCCTGAGGAGGGGGGTTGGGTGGGGTAGGAGGTCAGGGGAAAGGAGAAGAGGGACCGGGGTGGGAGGGAAGGGGAAGACGCGCGCGCTCGCCCTCGCACGCACTGACTGTGGAGACGCCCACCCACCCGACCGACCTGGCCCCCGAAGCCTGAACCCGCCTGCCGAGCCGCCGCCGCCACCGCTGCCGCCTCACCGACGAGCCCGGTCCCCGCCCAGCCCCCGGCTCCAGCCGGCCACTTCCGCTCTCACACCCACTTCCGCTCGCTGCCCGGACGCGCGGCCCCGCGGCGCCATTTCCGCTTTGACCCCTCGTGCACGCGCACGCAGGGGCGCCGCGGAGGCTGGGCTGGCGCATGCGCGACCCTCACCCCATCCCCCGGTTCCTTCCGCTTTCCCACAGCCTCACCTTCACGTCCAGCTCCTGCAAGTTTGTCTCCTCGTCAGCTGTCATTCTCCAATGCCTGCCTCACTGTCCAGCCCCTCCCTCCCGCTCGTCCCAGAGGTCCAGCTCTACCCTTCCGGTCGTGTCATTTCAGAGACGCCGCGAGGAGCTCACCCTTGTCCTCTCCTAGCCAGCTCCTTTGCTCTCAGCTTGTCGGCGTGCCCCTTACTTATGCCACACTAATGGCTTCTAGCAGCACCATCACGAATTCATTTCTCCAATATTTAGCGGGCTCATGGCTCTGTGCTGGGGGTACAGTGGTGAATGATACGACATCTTGCCCTCATGGAGCTTACAGTCTGGTAAAGGAAACCAAGTCTCAATTATATAACTACAAATAATTAAACGAGCAATGAAGGAAAGCAATGAGAAGTCACCTAGGTGAATAGGCCTCCCTGGGTTTGTCATGCCTCCGTTTTTGTGCCTGGGAGCTGCCTCTGGGTGCCACGAACATGATTTGATTTCTGTCTGACACGTTTCAGTGCCTCTGCCAGAGACATACCTTCATACTTATCTGAAGGTGTGTGCCTTGTTCTGCATTTTCCCTCCTCCAGGGAGAATCTAACAAACTTAGTTGAGTCTCTTCTACATGCATTGATTTATTTTCTGCTATGTACTCTTGGGGTGGGAGTGGGAGAATCCAGAAAATGAACAAAAACTAGCGTCTGTCATCGAGGCCCAGACAGCTCTTTAAAACAGATTCTTATCTGCTAATATTTTAGCATTAATGTTTATTGAACTAAAATAATGCACATACATGATGTAAAAAAAATATATATGTATATATATATGTAAAAATATATACATAAGCTAAAAGTCTTGTAATGGTCTGCTTTGTAAAGGCAGTATCTTCAACTCTTAAGTATGCATCCTGATTTGAACCATGTATCGAAACAAATGCTTGTAATATTCTTGATTTGTTAATTTTCAGCATTATCTGTTGACTTCCTGCCGTAATAAGAACATGATATTTCACTTCTGCCCCCTGCCCCCTGCCCCCTGCAGTTATGTAACAATTTTTGGCGAAACCGATAATCAGCATTTAAATTATTATGTGTGCACATACTGCTTACCAATGAGCCCCAGAGTACACTACAACCATGCCTTCTAACTTATACAACCTTTCATTTTTTTAGACTTAATTATTGCCTTTTTTCTCTCTTGTAAATTTTCTGTATTATCTACAGTTGACTGCCCATCCCCTCTCCCAAGTGCTCTAAGACTCTGTCAAAGTCTAGCAATATTTTCCATATACTCAAATACATAAGTTCCACTTTTTCTATAGAGTCTTTGTCCCAGAGCTCTCCTTTCTCTTGTTTTAATCTGGATTGACTGCTCTCTAGACTTGCTGTACAGTTGTCATTCTGGGATTTTCCTTACTGCTGTTTTGGGCCGTTTTGCCCACTTCCTGGATCCAGTGGCTTCCTTTTCTTGCTTTACATCCTTGTTTTGCTAAAGCATCTTCTCTAGTAACTTCCTAAGGAAGAGACTTAAGGGATATGTTGTTGGAATCTGCATTTTTTTTTAAAAGATTTTATTTATTTGACAAAGACACAGTGAGAGAAGGAACACAAGCAGGGGGAGCGGCAGGCAGAGGAGAAGCAGACTCCCTGTGGAGCTGGGAGCCCGATGCGGGCCTTGATCCCAGGACCCTGGGATCATGACCTGAGCTGAAGGCAGACGCTTAACAACTGAGCCACCCGGGTGCCCTGGAATCTGCATATTTGAAAATACCTTTTTTTTTTTTACGTAATCTCTAGACCCAAAGTGTGGCTCTAACTCAGGACCCTGAGATCAAGAGTCCCATGCTCTACTGACTGAGCCAGCCAGGTGCCCCCATATTTGAAAATACCTTTATTCTAACACTTGGATTGTAGTTGGGCTGTGTTAAAAAGAAACTCAAAATGGTGTTACTTAGGCCAACTCACCAACCTGGGGGTTAATACTTAACCAAATTATACTTTCAACCTCCCCCAGAAATATAGTCTTAACCATTATTCAGAAATTTTCTGATCAGCACCAATAAGGTTATCAGTCTCATGGGCCCTCTCCATCCCCAAAGGAAGATGAAGTAATCCACCTACTAAGACCCCTCTGTCCCCAAGTGAAGGTGACTTCACCTGAAATAATCATTTTTTCTGTTTGACTTCCTTGTCCTGCCTTTATAAGCCTTTCCTGGGGTGCCTGGCTGGCTCAGTCTGTAGAGCGTGTGACTCTTGATCTCAAGGTCATGAGTTCAAGTCCCACGTTGGGTGTGGAGTGTACTTAAAAAAGCAAACAAAAAACTTTTCCTTTTCGGTAACCCCTGAGAGCTACCCTCTATGGATGGGATGTTGCCTGATTCATGAATCATTTAACAAAGCCAATTAGATCTTCAAATTAACATGGGTAAATTAAAAAAAAAATTCATTTATTTATTAGAGAGAGAGGGTGCGTGCACAAGCTGGAGGGAGGGGCAGAGGGAGAAGGAGAAGCAGACTCCCTGCTGAGCAGGGAGCAGGATGCAGCACTTGATCCCAGGACCCTGAGATCATGACCTGAGCTGAAGGCAGACACTCAACTGACTGAGCCACCCAGGCACCCCTAAATTTTGTTTTTTTAACAGCTGGGTATTGATTTCAAATTTGAAAATAATTTTTTCCTCATAATTTTGAAAATATTACTCCATTATCTTCAACCATCCAGGGGTGCTATTTAAAAAGTCTGATTCCTATTCCTATTCCTGATCCTTTGTGTATCTTCTCCATCTCTGGAAGCATTAGAATTTTCTCTTTAGGCTATTGGTTGGAAATTTTAGAAGTCCAATGCGCTATCCATTGCGCAACAGAGCCACCCTGGTTGGAAATTTTATAATGATATATTTTGCTGTGACTCTTAATGTTTTTGTGCTGAGCACTCATTCAAACTGGAAACTCATGTACTTCAGTTTGGGAGGGAATTTTCTTTTATTATTTCCTTGATCATTTCTTCTCTATTTTCTTTGTTCTTTTTTTGGAATGCCTGTTATTTAGAAGTTTCATTTCTGGATTGATTCTTTAATTTTCTATTTCCTATTTCTTTGTGGTTTTTTTGTTTGACTTATTTATTAAGTTTTATTCATTTAAATAGTCTCTACACCCCACGTGGGGCTTGAACTCACGACCCCAAGATTAAGAATTGCATGCTCTTCTGACTGAGCCAGCCGGGTGCCCCTGGTTTTTATTTTTAGTTGTGGTTAAAATACACATAATATAAAATTTGTTGTCTTAGCCATTTTTAAGTGTACTATTCAGTAGTGTTAAGAATATTCACATTGCTGTACAACCACTTGTTTTCATCTTGCAAAACAGAAACTCTCTTCCCATTGTTTGTTGGTTTTTGTTGTCCTGTTCTTCTGGGATATGTCCTTGTCATTATCTTTAACCATTTTAAGTTTCAGTTTTTCTATCTTTAGTTCCCAAGACCTTTTTAATGACTGACCCCACCCCATATTATTCTATCTTTGTTTTATGGACAAGAATATCTTCTATCTCTCTGAGACGTTATAGTGTGTTTTAGTTTTTCTTCTGCTCTCTGCTTTGATCTGTTTCTTTGGGTCCTTTTTATGCTCATTTATTTAGGTCTTTTTCTTTTATGTTAATGGCTATCCTCTAAAGTCTGGCTACTCTAGCAGTCTGTTTATATTGAAGAATGAGACTCTAAGAAGCAGAAGGGAGACTCAATGTGTGGGCAAGATGAGTTCACTAACACCTTGCTACTCAGAAGGGACCACCAGCATTGGCTTCATCTGGGAACTTTTTGGACATGCAGAATTTCAGTCCCCATTAGAAACTACAGATTTAGAATCTGCATTTTTTTAAGATTTTATTTATTTATTTGACAGAGAGGAGAGAGTGAGAGCACAAGCAGAGGGAGTGGGAGAGGGAGAAGCAGGCTCCCCACTGAGCAGGGAGCCCGATGTGGGACTCAATCCCAGGACCCTGGGATCATGACCTGAGCCTAAGGCAGACACTTAACCAACTGAGCCACCCAGGCGCCCCTAGAATCTGCATTTTAACAAGATCACCAGGTAATTTAAATGCATGTAATATTGTGAGAAGCCCTGGATTAATGGGCTTCACTATAAGGTGCACCAGTGGTGTGCCAGATTTCACTGGGGGCCCACAAAGTCAATACTGGGAGGTCTTTCTCCAGAAAAGAATCTTCTAGTTGTGTTGGGGGCTTTTAAATTTGGCAGTGAGCATTCCCAGAGTGTGTGGGAGTGGGGAAGAATGCTTTGACTCCCAGCTGACTTCTGTTTAATCCCATTATTAGCCCTGCACCTTCCTGTTGCCTTCCACTGGGTTAGAGTCTATAGGAAATGAATCTTTGGTGGTAGTAATGGAGGAAGGGGTGGAAGTGGGGCAGGTGGGGTGGGAATGGGGTAATCCCTTGACTGCTGGTGGACTTGGAATGCCAAAGACTTTTGATATGGATTTTCTTTATCTCGGTTTTGGTTTATTTAAATTTATAACTAATAGATATATCTTTGTACTACCACCCACTTTTCTTGAATCTTAACATTTTATAAATAAACCTTCTTCAGAGCTTTTAAAAAAAGAATTATAGTTGAAACTTCCTGTGAATCCCACCAGATTCCATTCCTTTCTCTCCTTCCTTCCCCACTCCATAAAGGTAACCATCACCCTGCATTTGGTGTTTATTCTTCTCATGCATGTTTTTACACTTTCATTGCATTTGTATGTATCCATAAACAATGTATAGCACATTTGGCTGATTTTAAGCTTTTGTTAATAGTTTTATACTGTATATCTCCTTTGAAACTTGTTTCTTTTAGTCAACAATGTATTTTTGAGATT